TCCGTTCGTGTTCCAAGAGCATACGCTCGCCCGAGCATCCATGCTCAAACCATGATTACGTTCGTGTTCCAAGAGCATACGCTCACCAGAGCATCCATGCCCAAACCATAAGTAGGTTCGTGTTCCAAGAGCATACGCTTACCAGAGCATCCATGCCCAAACCATAAGTAGGTTCGTGTTCCAAGACCATACGCTCACCAGAGCATCCATGCCCAAACCATGATAACGTCCGTGTTCCAAGAGCAAACGCTCACCAGAGCATCCATGCCCAAACCATAAGTAGGTTCGTGTTCCGGGACCATACGCTCACCAGAGCATCCATGCTCAAACCATGATTACGTTCGTGTTCCAAGAGCATACGCTCGCCCGAGCATCCATGCTCAAACCATGATTACGTTCGTGTTCCAAGAGCATATGCTCACCAGAGCATCCATGCCCAAACCATAAGTAGGTTCGTGTTCCACGAGCATACGCTTACCAGAGCATGCATGCTCAAACCATGATAACGTTCGTGTTCCAGGAGCATACGCTCACCAGAGCATCCATGCTCAAACCATGATTACGTTCGTGTTGCAAGAGCATACGCTCGCCCGAGCATCCATGCTCAAACCATGATTACGTTCGTGTTCCAAGAGCATACGCTCACCAGAGCATCCATGCCCAAACCACAATTAGGAATATTTAATATTAGGCGGCTAGGGGGGAAGAGGATCATACCCCCACCGCTGCACCCCAAAACCCAACCCTAGCCTGCTAAACCCTTTTCCCTCAAACCCCACCCCCTTGATCGTATATATCTCAAAACCCTACATCCCAAATCATCTACTTCCGGATATTGATTGGAAATCTCTAACCCTGTATAACTCGTTTCTTCCGGGCTTTGTGTGTTTGGGTACAGCGGCTGATGGGGGTTTTGGTAGTTCAAGAACCCAAAGCCTAAGCCGTCCTACACTTCCATCGCTTAAACTCAAAGTCCTACGATCTCACTTAAACCCCTAAACCCCATACAGCCCACTTCTCGCAAAAAAATACCAGTTGTTGCAAAACATCTTTTTTCTCTGAAACCTCGCTGCTCGCAGGAAAGCGATTTCTCACGATAAGTCGCTTTTCGCAAAAAGTCATTTCCTCATAAAATTCATTTTTTGCAAAAAGTCGCCTTTCGCCAAAAAAAAAAAAAGAAAAACATTTTTCGGAGAAAAATCACTTTTCGCAAAAAGTCGCTTTTCGCAAAAAGTCGTTTTTTCGGAAAAAACAAAAAACACGTTTCGCAAAAAGTCATTTTTCGGAGAAAAGTCGCTTTTCGCAAAATATCGGTTTTCGCAAAAAAAAATGCAAAAACTCGTTTTGCGCACAAACATCACTTTTCGGGCTTAATCGCCTATAGTCACTTTTCGCAAAATGTATATATCGGAGACAAGTCACTTTTCGCAAAAATTGTTTTTTTCGCAAAAATTCACTTTTCGCAAAAAGTGGCTTTTCGCACCATTTTCCCCGTAACTATTAAAGACACACCGGCCGCCAGCACTGTCGAAACGAGGCCTCTTCCGTAGGTTCGTGTACCGGCGGCTCTTCGCCTTCGTCCTGCTTGGCAGGGGATCAGCCGAATAGATTCCTCTTGTCGGCCAGGCTTGCATGATCCTAGTTCAGTGCCCATCTAAGTTCTGGCGTTGCAATTGCATTTTGCATCAACCAACTTGGCTTCACTAAAACAAGGCCTTGTCACAAACTCGAAGTGGCTTCTGGAAACGATTGCTCTTCAAGCCTTTCTGGGTAGAAACTTGCGCTCATCTACTCATGCAGACCATGGGCACCTGCCGAATACCCCAATTTCAGCAGCTCGTTCTGCGCCGCCCACTCTGAAACTTATCGTAGCTTAAAAACCTATGATACCCTCTGGCAGACTTCCATTTACTCCGGTCTCCAAATTCGGACCGCAACAACAGCCACGAGCCCGCAGCCTCCTCTGCAGGCTCTTGGATCGTTGGCTCTTCACCATCATCCTCAAGACGGTAGTAATAATGGCAATAATATTAACCGTAGTTAATAATACTAATAGTTATGATAATATCAATAATAGTAATAACACGGATTGGCTCTTCCTGGAAACGGGGCACGCGAGCAGAGGCCTGCAAAAAGAGATGTGAAGCCTTCTCTAATGAACTCTTAAAGGATGTCGCAGATGCAGTTGACAAAAATGGGGAGACAGCAGAAGACCTTTGGTGAATGCAACCCTGCAGAATCGAAAAGATCCGGTGTAGAAACGCAGGCTATGCAAAAGGAGTCCCGATCTTTCTTGCAAGATATGTTCTACTCAAAGGGGTTTCGGGTTGGGGTCTTTGGGCGATTGAGTTAGGGTCCACTGGCTTGGGGGTTCTTTGGCAGCAGCTACTTTACAAAAGACCGTGTCCCCTGCGATGAAAGAACATCACTTCAATCCGAAGGACAGAGTTGTACAATGCAGGGAAGACTCGAATTAATGGATGGGGGGTTGTCACACGGTCTGGTTCCGATCTGTCTCCCTGCGCACAAGGGGGATTAGATGATTGCGGTACCTGGCACGTTCTGCAGGCTCTTCTGCATTTCATGCACTGATGGAGGGGGAAGATTAGGAAGGAAAAGGAATTTCGTAAAGGGAGCATCAGCAGCTGACCCTGCCTATTGCGCAGGTAGTAGTTCCCCCCAGCAACAGCCACATGAAACTTACCAATACCATTCCGCATGGTGAGAAACCTCATCAAGCGCTTATAGGCAAACCACTCAAGTACCGTTTATGCGAATAACCATAATTTGAGTGAGCTATGTGAAGGCCGTCGCTCCCTATCCATGTTGGAGCCTCCTTAAACTGGTCACAAGTTGTCGAGCGCTTCATGGGGAAGCGACTTTGATGTGAGTTGCCAGCGTTCCAAACTGCTGTGCCATAACAGGGAAGCTCGTTGGAGCAGGGGCTCCATGAACTCGAAAGTACGATTAGAATGATACAAGCACCGTACTAATGGTAACAGTGGCAAGAACAACGCTGACAATCCTGCGAACCTCGATGGGCATAATGATTTGCTAAAAATGGGAAAAGTAGCTCTTTCTAGCAAGCAATTCACACAATCCTCCCTCTCCTGTTCTCACTGCAAATCAAGTCAAAGTAATCTCCACAATGATCCACAATGCATTCCCTCACTCTGTATTGAAAACCCGCGAGAATTGTTGTAGACTTCAATTCTACCACTGCCCCTTTTTTCCCCCGGTCTGTCCTGCGCACCATCGTCACCATCAGGTGCGGAAACCTGGAACGGCATCCACAGTGCTAGTACATTTGCAGTGCTAAGAAACGTCCCAATCTGACTATGACTTCCATTGGATACTCTTGCGGCTGCATGTCATGAGAAGCATGGCTATACTTGACTTGTGCCATTCACATGAAGCAAAAACCCTCTGCAGCGCTCTAGGTTCTGGATTTCTCTCAATGGACATAGATCAACCCCAAAGCCCACCACAGCCACCCCTCCTCTTACGAGCCTTCTTGCTCTGATTACTGTTAGGGGTATGGGTTTAGGGTTTAGTGTTTAGGATATGTGCCAGGCTAGAAGCACTGGGATCCTTCACAGAAGGACACTGGAAAAAAGGACATTCTGTTCGTCATGTACCTGCTGTACCATCACCGCTGCTGCAGCCACTAATTGTTTGCCACTGTCGTTACACTTGCGCTGCTGCCTACATAGCCACAATTTCTACACCCCAAACTTAACACCCCAAACCCCTTCACCATACTCCTCATCCCAAACCACAAACCCTAACTTGTAACTTCTACGTAATATAATATACATATACTATAATATACTAAAATATACTAGGATATACTATAGTATACTATGATATTGGGAATCTACAACCCAAAGCCCCAGACCCTTCCCACCATCCTCGTCAACAGGAGCAGCTTTGGCTTCTGTAGGCTCGCCGACGTCGCCGGGCTTGACGTCCTCGCGAATCGCGAAAAACGAAGGATTCCTAATATCGTAGTATATTACAATACATTATAATATAATATAGTATTATAGAATATTATAGCATATTCTAGTATATTATAGAATATTACTTAGTATTATAGTATATTATAGTATATTATGGTATATTCTAATATCCGCCGACCCCGGGGCGGCGTCAGTGAAGATTTTATTGTTTTCCGGCTCCCCTAGCCTACGGGCTAGAGACATATGTAAAGGGGTTCCAATGTCTGCCCTCGCCCCCCTCGTTCCCCTCGCCCCCCTTGCTCCCCTGCCCCCCTTGCTCCCCTTGCTCAC